GTGGCTGGCGCCTTAGCCGGTTGAGCTACAGGCGCCGAGCCGGGAAGGGCATTCTTAGCTAAACTATATTGGCTGTTTCACAATTTCAAAGTTAAATTTTATCTTATATCCAATTCTTATTTAAACTGATTACTCCAATCTGATTTATTTCAATACTTAACCTTAATTTGCTGTTGACTTTGCATCCAACTTAGTATCTGACATTGTAATTCCTGTATTTTGTAGTTGGTTTCAGGCTTTTTCTCCCTTATAAACTGTACAATTGCTAGCTGTCTCCAAACAGTATCCAAATAGGAGCCTAAAATGCTTTTGTAGATGTTTTTTGCATTTGACAAATATCCTATTATAGCAAAATTAGAAAAAAAATTGCATAGGTCTTTTTATTCTTTGAGAAATCCATGGTAAAAAGGCTGAAAGAAAATTAGAGTCATAACAGAGATAATTAAAATTTTCCTTGATTATTTTTTATATTGGTCAGTTATTGACTAATGAAAACTTTAAAATTGAGTGAAGCTTAAAAATATGTACCACATGTCTCTGATTAAGCTGCACAACACCAATATGCCCAAATGTACTAGATATATTTTCTGATTATATAATCTATTTTTTCCTGCCTCCTGGGTTATCAGATGTTGGGGTTAGGATTAGGGTTAGGGACTTCTTCTTAAATCCTGCATCTGCAAGTTCTATATGCATCTGCAAGTTCTGCTGAAATGCTACTTATCTAGAATTTTCTTGATTTTTTTTATTTTTATAACTTTTGTACTTGATTTCTGGTTATTTATGCATATGACTTAATAACCTCATTACTCTATAAGCTCTTTCAGGACAGAATTCATGGCAGTATTTATACATAATTAATTTGTATAACTGCTAAAAAATCAGTACTTAAATTCAGACTCACTAAGGGCAACTTTTGAGCATAGATTCCTGGAACTCATCCTTGAAGGCTCATATGCAGTAAATCTAGATTGTGTCCTAATGATTTGTGTTTAAAAAGTTCTCCATCTGGGGCACAGTGAGTTTCAAGAATTACTTAATAATGCACTTGGCACAGTAATTTATGTAGATCAGGTGTTTAATGAATATCTGGGTACTAAATAATAAATTAATGTTTATGTTCATGTGTTATATGTATGTGTATATTTATTTTAATTTTATACTAGAATTGTTAGGCTGATGGGTAACTTTAAGATTGATTTACATTCTTTTCTGCTTCCTAGTTTTCAGACCTCTTACTGATTCTCCATATTGCCATCAGACTTAACCTTTTGCTTTTTAGACAGAGTCTCAATATGTTGCCCTCTGTAGATTGCTCTGGTGTTACAGCTCACAGCAACCTCAAACTCTTTGGCTTAAGTGATTGTCTTGCCTCAGCCTCCCAAGTAGCTGGGACTATAGGTGCCTGCCACAATGCCCAGATATTTTTTGTTGCGGTTGTCATTATTGTTTAGCTGGCCTGGGCCGGGTTTGAACCCCCCACCTTTGGTGTATGTGGCTGGCACTGTAACCACTGTGCTAAGGACACCAAACCCAGACTTAACCTTTTGAAAAATAAATCTAATCCAGTAGCATCCCTGTTTCAATAACTCCCTATCATCTACAGAATAAAGTCTAAATTCTTTTGTGTAGCTTAAAAGGCTCTTCATGATTTGACTCTTACATCTTCAGGCTTAGTTCCTGTTGCTTTCTACACTGTCCTCTTCAATCTAGCCACAAAGAATTATTGGCAACACACCAACCCACTGGCCGTCCCTCTGGCCTCTTAATTCTGCCGAGAATATTCTTTTATTCTTTACCACTTGGCAAACTTCTACTTCATTTTTAAAAACATATTCATCTTAAGGATAATAGTGTCTATCCTTTGTGCTATGACTATGTAACTCTATATAATATAAATTACATTCAGTAATAAATATTGAGTTTATTTCTGGGTTAAAGCCCAAAAGGGAAACTTTGTACCTTGAACCTTAAAACTCATTACCTTGCTTGCTCAGGAAAAGAAGCAAACTGGAAGCTGGAAGAAAATACAGAATTCTGGGAGCGAGCAGGAAAGGCTATCAGAACTCAGTGGATTTTTCTTCCTCTGCCATTATACAGAGAGAAAGAAAGGATAACAGCCTGCCTTGGTCTGGCTTTCAAGGAGTTTTAAAAGAGTGAGAAAGTACTCTGCTAAAAAGCTCCAAGACAGCTAGTTATTTGTTATTGGTTGGTACCTGAGCTTAAGAAGTTAGTTTTCCAACAAGTATCTTTACTTTTATAGTATTCCTCAAGGTAGCCAGACAGCAATGCCAAAGTGTGATTTAGTAAATGAATTTCTTAGGGAAGTCAAAATAATTCAGTCCAAATATATACCCCTCAATGGTCTCACCTAACTAGGGCAAGTACTTAAAGGTAAATATTGTTCAAGCAATCCTTTATAAATATTATTTCAACCTAAGATTTTGATGACTAGTGAGCATATTATACTTGGATAGATCACATACTGGCCAAGTATTATAACTAAGCTACAGCTACTTTTAGAAAGCCCAATACAGTGTTTTTCCTCTCTTCTTCAATGAAATCATTTAAATGTTGCTATTGGACCAGGGTGACTTATCTCCATCCTTACACAAGTTAGGCTTGGGGACTACAACTCTAGTTTCCAGCACTTGGAACAATTGTAAGGGAATAGTGTTATATGCCCTTCCATTAAGTCATCCATCTTCATTTTACTTCTCAGTTTCCATAAAGGATTGTTCTATAATACAGTGAGGCTATTATTCATATCAAAGAAGGATATCAGAATCTAGAATATCTGAGCTCCTAGTGCTTTAGAGAGAGTACAATTGTGATTCACTGATGCTCAATATGTACCAAAATCTTAGATTAGAGAAATAAAACTTACATCTGGGTTACAGATAAGAGAAAATGTCTGGATCTTGGATCAGAGAAAAATTATTTCACTTTATATCTGAGATAGGTTCTAGAAACTCTAAGTTATAAATCATAGTCCCACAAGAATGAGTCTAAATATCCTGCAATAAGGGGCCTGAAGCAATAATGTAGTAAAAGAGATGTTTTAATGATTTTAATAGGTTAGAAAGAAATTTCCAAAGTCTTCAAAATTTCAAATATGTTCAAAATAGGGTTTGTTTTGTTTTTTTGAAACAGAGTCTCACTCTGTTGCCCTCTGTAGAGTATGATGGTGTCACAGCTCACAGCAACATCAAACTTTTTTTTTTTTTTGAGACAGTTTCACTTTGTTGCCCTAGCCCTCTGTAGAGTACTATGACATCATAGCTTACAGCAACCTCAAACTCTTAGGCTAAAGTAGTCCTCTTGCATTAGCCTCTCAAGTAGCTGGGACTACAGGCTCCCATTGGCTATTTTTAGAGACAGGGTCTCACTTTGTTCAGGCTGGTCTTAAACTCCTGAGCTCAAGAAATCCATCTACCTTGGCCTCCCAGAATTCTGAGATTACAGGTGTGAGCCACTGCCTGGCCCACATGTGGTTAGTTTTTAATTTTTTTTTTGCAGAGACAGGGTCTCACTATGTTGCCCAGATTGGTCTTGAACTCCTGGCTTTAAGTAATCCTCCCACTTTAGCAATCCAAAGTGCTGGAATTACAGGTGTGGACCACCATGTCTGACCCCAAACAGTTTTATTTCATTACTCATTTAGTTCATATCCTAATGTATACACAGCTAAAAAAAGAAAACAAAAGAAAACAAACAGCAAAAGATCTTACTCCTTATAATAACTTACTTCTATTTTGTACAGCAAAGATTCAAAGCCACAAAAATGCAATGAAAACTTAAAATGTATATGGCAAAATGTTAAATCCCATATTAAAGAGTAGCACATGATAATGATTATACAATCACATTTTTTAAAGCCATCAGGACTCTGTAATTCAGACTTAGAGAATCCTAAGCCTATTTTTCTAAATGATGATAATGGTTAAAGACAATTTCTTATAATGAACATAAGCAGAATAAAAATGTATATTCCATTATAATTATGCCAAAATGTATATAATGCTTTACTTTCACAAAAGTAAAACATGGCCACATAATTTCTTTTCAGAAAAGTAAGTTATTTAAGATGAAATATTTCAGTAGGAAGAAAAGGGGAAATAAAAATTTTCCTCACAAACCCAATGCTGTGTCCAAGCTGCATGTTAAAAGGACATCTCTAATTGTTACCAGAAGGTGTATGAGGGCAGCATACTTGAATGCTATTTCACTTTCACCATTTGCACCTAAAATAAGGAAAAATGTATTTTAAAACAGACTGTATATATCAGAATTTTAGAATATGTATCAGAATCTGCTTAATAAGATAGCTAACATTTATTTTTTGAGTATTTGCTATATACCAGGCTGTATACGTATGTGTAAAAGTTGGTTATTTCATTGAAAGCTATTATGATCCTCATTTTATGGATGAGGAAATAGTTTTAATGAGGTTAAGTAACTGTCTAGGGTCAATTAGTAAATAAATGGTGTGACTGTCATTCAAACCCAGACAGCTAACCTTAGAATTCATGTCTTTATTGCTTCCAGAAAATATTCAGGTATTTCCACTCTTGTTGAAAAAAAAAAGGTCAATTATTCCCAGTTGTGAAACAAGAAAATTAAATTCCTTATTTACCAAATGGCTAAAATAAAGGTGGAGGACCATAACACGAAGAAATACCTTGAAATGGAGGTGGACACCTGGGAATATTTGTTCAAAAATATGACTCAAAGAGATATATTCACAGGAACAGAACAGCCTAATTGCCTAATTATTGTGTTCCATTTAGTTCTAGAGCTTTTTGAAGATGATAGATTGGATTTTTCTGCATGTAAAAGTGAGACCAAGAATATGGGATTCTAGGCCCATTATCCAAATTTAACCAGAGCAGCTCTACTTTTCCGTTTCATATATTAGGATGCCATAATATATTTATCTGAGCAAAGAGAATGTTAAAAAGTTTGCAAATTGCTGCTCTAATCGGTGTAGATCAAGACAAATATGTAGCAGTCATTGGAAATTAAGAGGCAATAGGTAAGCTGTTTATGGGTAAGTATATCCAGTCCTCAGAAGAACTTTTGAGAATAAGTCAATCATGACCTGGAAAGGATAAGAATAGAGCAGAAAAACCATATTTGGGGAATAGGAAATGTAAAAATGCTTGGAAAATGGAGTACAGACTAGGATATTAGTTGTGGGGAGTGGTGTGACTTCTTATCTAGGTTTGCTTAATTTTTACTTGTAGGCTTAGCTTTATTTCAAAAGGGGACCAGTGAAAGAGTATCAAGTATAGCAACTATATCACTTGCTCAGGGTTAAGACAATATTGTTCCAACTGGCTCGGTGCCTGTGGCTCAAGCGGCTAAGGCGCCAGCCACATACACCTAAGGTGGCGGGTTCGAATCCCCAGCCC